TGCTGACCGTCTGGGTCTCGCTGATTGTGGGACTTGGGCCATTTAAAATACAACCTAGCCCAATCTTCTCATTCACACTTCAGCCCACATGCATAACTCTTTAGAGCCCATTTGTGCCATTCCAAATCCTCTAATGATTGATCCAATGCTCCTTCAATCCTCTGTAGGTCGATTCCGCGTCGCCTCATCATCATTCTCGCTCAAAAATTAAGTCCAAATTTATTTCTTACATATATTGACACCAAGCCCAATTGCACCACTTCAAGTCCATGAAAAAAATTGCAAGCCTCTAATAGTCTCGCACTCCTTCCATACCTCCAATAAAGGAGAAAAATAAGCTCAAAAGACTGGAAAGCACCCAGTAAAGGAGAAAAATAATAAAAACAGAAAATATGCATGAGGATTAACTAAAATAAGATGGTTTTAACTAAAAATAAACTATGAAATGAAGTAATAAAAACGAAACTATCAAATTCAACGAAAGTCAACTCGACCTATATCAAAATTTTAGATGAATCTTGATGTCCTCAAATGTACAATTTCCCTGTATTTATGTGAAATGTCCTTCATTTCGTCAATTATTGAAATTAAAGCCCTAGTTGGGACTTACAACATTAATTTCAATAATACCAATACATATTATTTTAGTAAAAACAATACTTTCAACACGCTAAGGTATTATCTTTATTAATAATGATCTTTTCGTAATAATTTGAAATGTATAATTGAATTTAGTAAGTATTCATAATCTATACAATTTTTTTTATAAAAACTTACATTTTTATAAAAATACATCCATTTTATAATATATATATATATATATATATATATATATATATATATATATATATATATATATATATATAGTTGACCTAGTGAGTTAATGTCCCCCCATTTTCCCACATAAACCTTTAACCAACAAACATCCATGCTATTACCCAACAAGTAACAATGCACATCACCCCACCCCACCCTACCCCCCTCCTCCCTTAACTTGTGGCCGAGAGGGTTATTCCCTCTCACCTTCTTCACTTTTCTTCAATATTCTCTCAAGAACAACCTCAAATCCTTCCAAGATCTTCACCTTCAAGTTAGTTCTTATGGATCTTGGTAAGTGATCCTTGCTCATCTAGTGATTATACACATTTTGATGCTAGATTCATCTCATTTACACACATTATTATGTGTTAAATCCATATAATAAGATCATCTCTCCAAGAGTTCTTCAACCATCTTCTAAATGCTCTAAGTTTAAAGATCTTCACCATCATCTCCTTATCCCACCACAAAACACTCAGGGTGAGCTTCATACTCCTACATTTTCATGTTTTCTTCAACTTTTAGGGGGGGGGGGAGAATACAAGTTACAACACCAAAACATAATCTAAACTTAACCATCAGCTTTCAACATAAACGTTATGGTCTATTCATGGACTGTTTTCACCATCTTAAACTCAATATTTTTCAAAATTATTCAATATTAAAATAGATCAGGTTTATACCTTTGTAAAGACTACTCGCACGCATTCATACAATTTTTCTACAATATTTAGCAATTTTTAAAAAATTGCCTATCATTTCAGATATGATTACGGACTAGTCTGTGAAGATGAACATTTTCACACTGGTTTGAGACCACTAAATACTATAATAAAAATTATGAACAAAGTAGACTTTTTTTCTAAACTCTTAGAGTTTACCGATCCAAATTTCTACTTACGATGATTTTTCAATAATTTTTCAAAAAACATGGACAGAAAAGTCAAAAACTAGAAATTGTCTTTATATTACTAAAAGTTCTTATACTTATGTTGGATGTAAGTTTACATGATATATTCTTTTAAAACATCTAGACATGTTAGCTTATATGTATTTATATATATGATTATATAAATTTTCTTGACAAACAAACATAATAAACTATAATCGGTATAGTTTGGAGGTTACAAACCACACTTTCCAAAGGTACACATAATTATTTTAAGGCATAATTATCTTATTTTGGAAGTAAAAGGGAGTAATAGTTTACATAAATCTGTTAATGCTCTTGTTAGACTTTCCTTCACCGTACCTACATAGCGTACACCGTAAGTCCTGCAGTTATAACCAGAGTCTCGTGGAGGGACAGCGAGGTAATTGTGTATAGATCAATACGGGGTTGACACCCCCACACCTGAGTTGTTCGCTACAGCTAGATGAGACCAGTCTAGGGTGGCAAATATCTTACCGGAACTGACACTTGAAGAACGTCATGACAGGTGTATTCATCACACGGTTATAATGACTCACATAGAGAATAACAATACGATTTTGGTTTACTGGAATCTTACACTTCATCGGTTTTATTAAACTATAAAACTGCAAATCATTTTTCAAGTATTCAGTCTCTTACACTTTCGGTCTTATGGTTTAAGACATATTTTTTCGTATATCAAAAAATATTGGATTTTCAGGGAACGTTCGCTTTACATTTACAAACAAAAGATAACAAAGGACATGCATGCATATATTCACAGTTTTGGAATGAGACTTACAAATCATTTTCATTGAAAATATTGGATTTCTGAAAGTACCACGAGAACTATTCTAAACAAGTGCAAAAACCATTTTTATATAAAAATGCTTATAAACTCACCAACGTTTTAGTTAATGCTTTTCAAAACGACTTGTATTCTCAGGGAACCAGGTCAGCTCTGCTATGAGATCATCTAATGAAATCTTATAAGGTTCTACTTTTGTCACTTTTGTGTAACTGATCAACAAGTACAATGTGTAAACTATGTAAGTGTGTATTTTCAATGTATGTCACTTGGAATACTATGTTTCATTCATATCCAATTATTATGATACTGTACAATGACGTAATCCGCCCCTGGACGTTTCCACCATCCTGATTTGGGGTTGTGACACAAATGAAGAGGACGGAGAGTGTGATTGAATAGGATGGTGTTGTTTGTATTTAGTCACATCTATAGGATATCGTTACCAACCAGCGCATAATGATAAGTAGAAGAATTATTACCAGTTTATGGGGGTTATCGGCGAGATTAACCAGAATTTCCATGGAGGTTATGGGCGAGAAGAATTTTACCGGACAACGAATGATCAATGTGCCAAGCTTGCACATTCCACGTTTGATTCGTTCTTTGTTCCTCTGACAATAACATGGAACGAGTTTCAAAAAAGATGAACGGACTTTTTTGTCATATCAAGCTAGCGATGTAATCGTATTTGCACGAGAGTCCATTCCTAGTGTATATAACTAGGTTTTATGTAGGACAACGACTTCAATTTTCTCTACTAGGTCGGCGATAGTTTAATCCTCATGCAATATTCGGTGATCGTAGAGTCACGAATCGAAATTTTTCGGAGTCTGCTATCAAGTTGGAGAGATTTAGCATCTTTGTTGTGCATAAACATTTTTTCCTAGTTATTCTACACTTTATAAGTCATCCCGTTCTGTTTGAGTACAGTTTGAAGGAGGATTCGAGAAATAGTGCCATAGATTCATGATCACACGAGAGCGTCAAGATAGAGCCATTCGTGATCGGCCGTGGCAGCCGATTTCTCTTTGTTGAGATGCGCAGTGACAACGTATCCCATACATTGTGTATTGTTAGTCCCAAATTTAATGATCCAATTCAGTAATCAATGAAGTTGATTATAATAAAGGATAGATGTAGAAGAAGAAGAACTAAAATCAAGCATGCACACATCTATATTTAGTAAATGTCAAGTACATCTTGAGAAAAGTACAACTACTGCAGAGTTCTGACACCAGAAAAATCAGTACACACTGACACACTCAGTTGCTATAAATAGTACTCCTCCTACCAGCAATCAGTACATACTGACACACTCAGTTGCTATAAATAGTACTCCTCCTACCAGCACAAGAGTGTGCAGCCAAACACATGTGTGGAAGCACACATTACATGACAACACACAATCACTGCAAAATGACATTATCATCTATACAAAATGATGCCTAGCTCAAACCACAAAATTATGTTCTTTCATTCTCCCCCTTGGTTTGAGACTAGCATAGTCTTGTATTCACTCCTTTGGCTCCTCAGCAGGCTTCTCAAACAACCTCAGATCTAATCTCCCCATTGATCCCATCCACAATCTTCCATTTATGATCGTGGCCACCATAGCAGTGAATTCTTTAGCAGCAGCTTCCATGATATCCTTTATGCAAATGATTTGATGACGGGCCAAAGTTCGTATATCCCTTTCTCTGAAGCGAAGAAGATCTTTAGCACTAATCAATCTCAGAATATGTTATCGATTCTTGAATTTGATGGTTGTAGTAGCTGTTTCGTCATTATATGCCCAAAATTCCATGTAATATAGATATCCCTCATGAAAATGTTGAGGAATAGGAATTTCCTTTTGTTTCTTAGTTGTAGGCCAGAGTATAATCTTCATGGGTTCGCCTGTTTCTGGATCAAGAACATCTTTGTCCTTTTTATACAAGGCTTTTGCAGTCTTCATTGATGGAAAGTTCTCTTTCACCTGTCTGTCGAGAAATCTTTTGAAATTTGAAACACTAGGATCTTCAGAGGGGTTATGGAATGGGGCCCTGGATTATTCAGCTAGATCAGTTTTGGTCCAAGAGTTGAAATCATGGGAGCTTATGTAACATTCAGATGCTCCTAATTTTCACTTTACAACCCACAAATTCATCACTGGATCAAAGGCCCACATTCGGATGCCTGTCCTGTCACCATACTCATCACCAAACTTTCTTTTCTTCAAATCTATTACTGTCAAGATAGGGTCTCTTGTTTTTCGATTTTCATTAGAATTTTTCATGAATAAAAGGCCTTCACTTTGTTTTGTAGTTACGATTCTTTTGCCCTACTTGATTGTGATTCTTGCTCTGCTTTCTTCAGGTTCTTTTTCAAATCTGTCGACAATGGTAGTTGTTCTTGGAACAGGTGGGTCAACAGGTAGATCATCAGTTGCAGGAGGTGATTGAATAGAAGGAGGATCAACTACTCCATGAGGCTGTTTGAAGAGGATTTGAGTTTTTCACCAAAAGCATCGTACAATACGTTCTTGAGATTGAAATAATTAGCTAGAACAGATCCAAGACTCGTTTGTAGATCATTGATTTGTTTGGTCTTTTCTTCATCTTTTGCCCTGAGCTCAAAAATATGTGCAGAAAGCTGATCCATCTGAATTGACTTTTCAATGAGCTGTTGATGGAGAATTCCAATTTCTTCTCGGAGATCAGATGAAAAGGATTTGTCATCATCTGTCCGACCCTCGTTAAATGATATTCCTTTTCCATGTGAAGAGGTTGGACTAGATTAAGCGAGATGTCTTACTAATCTGATAGAGGCTTCATCTAGAGAAGGTCGTGTTGAGAATATTCTAGAATAGAAGAGGATCCACCAGTCTCGAACATGGTGTTTGGACCTTCATCAGTCTGCTTTGAAGGAGAGTGACCAGTGGTTGCAGTGATTATTGAAATAACTTGAGGAGCACATTTTACAGAGGGTACCTCCAGACTTTCAAGAGATTGGCTTGTTCTTATGGAGGTCTGAGAAGTCTGAGGTTCAGATAACATAGAAATGATTGGAGTTAATGTTGAGACAGGTGACACAGAGGGAGGAATCTTTGATGTCACATCTCCTTGGCTTATTGTGACCTCCAAGGGCTTCGAGGTAGAGAGCAGAATTTTGAGAACATTTCCTTCATCCCTAGTCTTAGTTGCTAAAGAAGCAACGTCATTGACTTTATTTACACGGCTACTGGGAATGTCAAGAAAAGGATCAAAATCTTCATCACCAAAATCAAATTCTATGTTTTTTGGGATGTCGTCATTAATTCCTGTAAAGTCGATTTCTTTCAAAAATTCCACATCTTCATAAAGATCATCGTCATCATCCTCTCGAGAAGATTTTGGATCATTTGCTATCTGATTATCATGCTCATCAGCTACATAAGTTGTGGGAGAGTGATGCATCTCCTCCACTTCAGACTCGGAGGGGAAGAGAGAAATATCTTCATTTTCCATCGGCATGGATTGATTTTCTGATTCTTCTCTGACATCCTCTTTAAAAATTCCAAATTTTATTAATGGAAATTTTCCTTCAAATACGAATTTTACGCCGATCTTATGCTTCATTAATCCAAAGGCACTTGGACCATTGGATTTGAAATCCACAGTATCATTTCCTTTCTGCAACTAGAGATGAGTTACGTTAAGGATGATTTGTAAAAATCTTGGATATATACAAAATTTGTCTCTTTTGCTTCCTTCAATATTTAGTATCATTTTATTCATTATGAATTTTGAGAAATTAAACTCAAAACCTGTTGCCAATGCAGCAATGGCACCAGTGTTGGCTAGAGAAATCTCGTTAGCTCCTGATCTCCGTCCAGAAATGCAACTCACGAACACATGAGCCAAAAGCTTCCAGCATGGAGGAAGCAGCTTTTTGATTGTAGGAGGAACAGTTCCTTCGTATCCCATATGCTCTAAAATTTTCTCAATTTGATGAACGTCAATCTCCATGAGGTACTCAGGTATGTCCTCAATTTGAAGAGATTCACTGATGATGCTTTCTGTTACTAGAATTTTCTTGTCTTCGATTGTTGTTTCCAGAAAATTTTCACCTCGATCATTCTTCTTTACATCAGCATTTCTCCAGATATCCTTAATCAAACTTTGGTAGATAGCAGGATTTGTAGTTAAGCAATGAACCAAGCATGATTTCTTCAAACCATTCACAATGAATTTCAAGTCACTGGGGGCTGCAGGAGGCTCTTCAACAAAAATTGCAGAATTATGAGTTTTAGCGAACTCCATGTCTCCCATTTTAATATGAAAGGCAGCACACAAGATTATTAGGGCAAAACTATGAAAATGATGTAGCCGCACACGAAGTTACATGCTGCCACACACTCACGTGTGTAGCTGTACACGGTCAGCCGCACACATTTATTCATGAAATAGTGTGGCAGCACACGGTCAGCCGCACACGCTTATTCATGAAATAGTGTGGCAGCACACGGTCAGCCACACACACCGTGTGCGGTTACCCTTGAAGATAAACAAAATTTTATGATGATTCAACAGCAAACAATAGAGAAATTTGAGAAAGTAATTAAAAATTCAGTCATATTCATGTGAATTACCGAGTAAAAGCTTGTTTTCACAAAAAAACTTAATGGAAATATTCAAGGAGTTTGAGAGAGTAAATGTGTGTGTGCGGTTGAAGCAAGGAATAGTGACGATACGTTTTTCACCGCACACACACACACTATATATATATACAAAAAAAATTCACTTTCTCCCCCTTTTCCTTTAATTATTTATCCAATGCCCCCTTTCACTCACCATTTTCTTAAAATGAAATATTTTGAGGATTAATGTGAAATTAATTTCAAAATTCCTAATAAACTAAAAAAAATATAAAATAAAATAAAATAAAAATTTGACAAGGAATAAACAATTCAATTTAAACCTATATAAATTGTTTTTAACCTGTTGAGGTTTAGGGATCAAAGTTTTTAGACAACCATTATCCGCTTGTCGGTACCTTTCATATTCACATCTTTGTCTGGTCGATTGTCGGTATTGTTGTCCACTTAAACACGAAAAATTGTGACAAAATTAGGACATACTATAAGTGACAAGACAATGTGATCTTAAATTCCTAGATATTATATTTGATCCTAAATTACTAGATACTATATCTTAGGGACCATTCATCTGACGATGACCAGGGATATTGTTGTCCACCTAAATTGAGCAGCGATATCTATAGACAATTTGTATGTGTTCAATTTTAAGTGTACTAGAATGTGTTTCCCGCTTCCTGATATGCCCTAGCCATCAAGAACTTCCAGAGTACTCCTTACACCGGGTGAGCAGACAACCATTCAGAGAGAGGATAGATTCAGAATTCTACTACTTATTATTTATTTCTTCAGAGGGGTTGAGAAGTAGATGGTTGCATATGCTGTGTACCACGTTGGATTAGAAGTCGCACAGAGGAGACAGCATATGGCTAACAGATAAGAAGTCTTTCACATATATAACTTGCAAAGAAATAGAGTTGCATATGTTGTATACCAGGTCAGATTGGAAGTCACGCAAATGAGACAACATATGAATAACAGACGGAAAGAAAGAAAATGATATTCTACAGACCTAATTTATCGGAATTTACCAGTTGCCCCAACCAACCGGAATAAGGATAGAATCCGCACATCGAGGAAAAGTTAAACCACGGTTCCAAGTACGGGTTCATTTAATGTGACGAGTAGATTCTCATATAATCTCCCTACTCAACCTATCCGAGCGTCGTATTGTTACGCTAAACGGAACTATCTAGGTAAAGATTTGTCAAGTCATTTGATTTCCTAAGTTCAAATCTGCCTAGTCATGTCCATTTAGAATGTTTCGTGCCTACCGACACATCAAACCAAAGCATAGATCCTTCAACTTTGGGTACGTTACATAGACTTAGGTTGTCTGTTATCACATGATCATATTACTTCCCTGAACATCTCCCTCAAACATAATTTCTAATTTTTAATGTTTTTGGATTTTCTATTTTTTAATGTTTTTGGATTTTTTATTTTTTTTTTTTAATGTTTTTGGATTTTTTATTTTTCTCCCCCTAAATTTGTGCATAAAAATAAAATGAAGTAAAATGTGCAAATTTATGCTTAAAAAATAAAAAATAAAAAATTAATCCTCAAAACGAATCATTTTTAGAAAATTAACCAGCACATCGAATCGAGCTCTGTTAAAAGGCTTGGTGAACATATCTGCTACATTATTATCAGAGGGGACCTGTTCTAGCAGAATGAGCAAACGCTCATAACATTCTCGAATAAAATGAATTTTGATGTCGATGTGCTTGGTTTTTGAGTGCTGGACCGGGTTTTTGGTAATTTGAATCGCAACCTGATTATCACAAAAAATAGGGGTTTCTTGAAAATTCAAACCGTAGTCCAACAACTGATGTTGGATCCAAATGACTTGAGAACAACAAGCAGATGCAGCAACATATTCCGCTTCTGTTGTTGAGGTTGAGACTGTGTGCTGCTTCTTGCACTACCATGACACCAGTCTATCTCCCAGAAATTGGCATCCTCCTGAAGTCGATTTTCTATCAAGCTCACACCCACCATAATTGCTGTCTGCAAAAGCATTAAGATCAAATTCGGGATTTTTCGGATACCAAAGACCGAGTTTTAGGCACCCTTTGAGATACCGAAAAATCCTTTTAATAGCAATTAAATGAGAGATTTTAGGATTAGCCTGGTAGCGAGCACATTGAATGACCGCAAACATGACGTCTGGGCGACTAGCAGTAAGATACATGAGTGATCCGATCATTGATCGATAATGAGTTTGATCTACGGATTCACCCTCAAGATCAGGAGTTAGAAGAGGCCGTTCCACCATGGGCGTAAGAGCAGGTTTTGCGTCTCAAAACCTGAACTTCTCCAGTACATCTTCCACATATTTTGATTAATGAATAAGGATTCCGGTTGAAGATTGTTTGACCTGAAGCCCCAAAAATGTGGTCATTTCCCCAAGTGAACTCATCTTAAAACGCTTCTTCATCACCGCTTCAAACTCCTTGAAAAGTTGTTGGCTTGTCGACCCGAAAATGATGTCGTCCACATAAATTTGAACGAGAATTTGATATGGACCGACATACTTGAGAAATAAGGTTTGATCAATGGTGCCTCGGGAATAGCCGTGATTGAGCAAATGTTGAGTAAGAGTAGCATACCAAGGGCGAGGAGCTTGATGTAATCCATACAAAGCTTTTTCTAGCTTGTAAACATGGTTTGGAAGAGATGAGTTAACAAAACCAGGTGGTTAGTCAACGTAAATCTCCTCCTTGACCTTGCCGTACAAGAAAGCCGTCTTAACGTCCATTTAGTATACAGTAAAGTTCATGTAGGAAGCATAAGCAAGGAAGATACGAATGGCTTCCAAACGAGCAACTGGAGCATAAACTTCTATATAATCAAGACCCTCAGTTTGTCGAAACCCTCGAACCACCAATCTTTCCTTGTTGCGTACAATGACACCTGAATCGTCTTGTTTATTTCGAAATACCCAACGAGTATCAAGAGATTTGTTTCCTTTTGGTAGCTCCACCAATTTCCAAAATCTGAGTTTCTCAAATTGATTTAATTCATCATGCATGGCTTCAACCCAACTGGGCTTATTCAGAGCCATTTCGACAGATTTAGGTTCTATTTGAGAGATGAAGCAAGAGTAGAGACATGTATTAACATCCCCACTTTTACTTCTCATTTGAACACCGTCGCCCAACTGGCCAATGACGTTCTCTATCGGATGATCTCGCTGAATACTTGTAGGGATCTAATAACTAATATCATTGACAAAAACAGGAAGATTATGAATATTAACCGCTCCAACATTTGTTTTATGATCTGTAGAGGATGAACAAGGTTCGTTTGAAGAATCTGCTACAAACTCTTCTGCAATACTTTATGGAAAGAGTAGTTCCATCAGATTTGAAGTTATAGTGGAAGTCTCGTGGTTCATGAACTCTCTTTCCATCGGTGTTAAAGGAGTAACAATAGCATCAGGAGAAGGTTGTTAAGTAGACTCAGAAGATTCAAAATGAGTAGAGGGTACCAATGGAGGATCAGAGGAAATCAATGGTGGTTGATAGACAACTTCATATTCTTCGTCTTCACTAGGAATCTTCGAATTGGAAGTACATCCTTTTTTATTATCTGAAGACACATTGAATGATTTGAAAAGAGATGTGTAGTCAAATAACCAATCAGGACCTACTCTTGTATCTATCTCATTTTCTTCAAGCCAACGAACATGAAAGGATTCTACAATCTATTTAGTCTTCTTATTGTAAACCCTGTACGCAGTTCGAGCAGCATATCCAACAAAGTAACAGTCATCGGCTTTGGCATTGAATTTGGGATTGGATTCCAAGTGGAGAAGGGTGCAAGGGCAGCCAAATACTCGGAAATGACTGACAGATGGCTTGTGTCCAAATA